GGTCAGTCTCTTCATTTTTGTGGCAGGCACAAAATTCTTTTGCTAACCAGTCTTTCTGATAGAAGAAAATCATTCTCTCTTGGTCTGTATTTGACTTCAGCATCCCAGGCCTCAGGCTGTGTGCCCCAACCTAGAACACTGACCTTCAATAGCTGATCAGATCCACAACTGCACTTTCTGAGTCTATCCTGACTTTTCTTCCATCATGAAACTAAAATTATTTAAAAACCACATCATCACATATTGTCCTAGAACTGCCCATACAGGCTTTGAAATGTTGGAAGAAACTAAAACTTTGGTTCTATTGTCTCTTGAGGTGATAAACTGGGAGAACACGCTCCACATTCCAGCCCAGGTCAAGCTGAGCCCCGAGGCCCGGGACCTCATCATTAAATTGTGTTGTGCTGCTGACCACCGGCTGGGGAGGAACGGGGCTGACGACCTGAAGGCCCACCCATTCTTCGTCACCATTGATTTCTCTAGTGACATTCGGAAGCAGCCAGCCCCCTACATTCCCAAGATCAGCCACCCCATGGACACCTCAAATTTTGACCCCATAGATGAAGAAAGCCCTTGGAATGATGCTAGTGAAGACAGCACCAAGGCCTGGGACACGCTCACCTTCCCAAATAACAAGCACCCTGAGCATGCATTTTATGAATTTACCTTTCGAAGGTTCTTTGATGACAATGGCTACCCCTTCAGGTGCCCAAAGCCTTCAGGAGCAGAGGCGTTACAGGCTGAGAACTCCGATTTGGAAAATTCCAATCTGGTGGATCAGACTGAAGGTTGCCAACCAGTGTACGTGTAGACCGACTTGGCACTGATACCCAGGTGCCCATGGCTGGTTCCTTAAAAGACCTGATGGAAAGTTCAGGGCAGCTTTGTTTTCAGTTAACCCATTGATTACTTCACTTGAAATTCTGGTCTTCACTAAGAAACCCAAAACAAAAATGCTTTTTAAAAAGGACTCAAGTATAGCATATCTTCATTTCTAGATTCTGGTTGATAAGGGGGATGATTGTCAATATGGCTTTGAATTGGCTTTTGAGGACCTTCACTGCATTGAAACAATTTTTTAAAAATTTAGTACAGTTTAAAAGAGCACTTATTTTGTTTATAGTCATTTTTATTACTAAGTTATAAGGATTAACTCTGACAAATTATGCTGCTGTCATTTTATACATTTGTATTTTATCACAGCACTTACATTTAGGAAAAGAAATAACTGAAGAACATGTGATAAGAAATCTCTGTGCAATAACTTAAAGAAAGATAACACTGTTTTGATGTTACTGATACCATTTTATTCACACAATGGTTTTGGTTTTATATTTTTTCCTGCATTTCAAAAGTGTGATATGTTAAAAGCTGCTTTATTTTATTATAATTTTTTTCTTTTTGCATATTATAGTGTCATAGACAGTGTGAGCAAGGTGATTCCATGGGTGTGATTTCTGATGTCTGATGTGTAGAGAATGTTGCATGAGTTGGGTCTTCTATTATAAATGACCATGTCTTGCCATTCACAGCAGGTTCTGTGAAGATGTTTTTATAAAGTATCTATAAATGAGACATTGTAGACAGTGTGCGATGACATGTGTGGGTGACTTCACTGTGATTGTATCCCTTACTATTTTGTTAAAGAAATGCAGGTGTGTAACTGAGAAGTGACTTTCTGTGTGTCTTGGTTATGGCTGGATTCTTTGGAGGCTAAACTTAAGAATTTGTCATATACTAAACTTGTGATTAATTTAGCTATGCCAAAAAGTTTGACATTAATCATGGAACTCTGTCTGTTTCACCAGTCAGTCCACTCTCTCGTTCTTGGTGTAGCTGATGTATGGAATCCAACAGCTGCCACCCTACTGCCACCAGATGGGCCCCATCAAGAGGTCTGCCTGACGCCATTTCATCCCGCTGTCTGAGACAGCTTCAATCTTACCATGGTGAAATTTAGTAATCTCGGCATTCTTTCACTTTTTTTTTATTGTGCTTTGAAGTGTCAATCTTAACTTCATTTTAAAAATACATTTTCCTCATCTTTGTAAAACAGCAAGGATTATTTAAAGTAACATTGGAATAAAAAAATTAAGCCATACAATTTTCTTAGATGTGTAGATGCATATATATATATAACTACATAGATAAACGTACAAAATATTTCTTATTTCAAATTAGTATGATTTTTATTTAAAGTGATATATATTTGAGTAAAAAGTTCAGTTATTTTTTGCTTTTTAAGAATCTGTTGCATCATATTTTCATTATACTCCACATATTTTTTCCTTGATGTTTTTAGCACAATATACTCATATTTAGTATATATCTAGGCAACAACACTTACAAGTTTATCAATGTCTAAAAAAAAAAGGTTCCTGTGTACCGGTTTACATTTTGAATGAGTGGCAACCCAACATCTGCTGTGCTTATACCGTAACTGTCAGTATTTCCGTGACTTTACAGTAATACCGTGTTGTTATTTACAGCATTCTGACACACTTTTATGTGGTAGGTTCTTTCTCAGGAACTCAATTTATTATTTATTGATATATCATTGCCTTTGAAAAGCTTCTACTGGCACAATTTATTATTAAAATTTTGAATATAAACCCCTTGGTGTGTGTCATGTGTTATTGGAATTTGTAAGTTCTTGCATTTATCAATATGTCATATGAGGCTGTTAAAATTAGTTTTTTGTATATCATTAGAGAAATGAAACTATATACACACACAGCACAAGAAAATATGTGTATACTTTTTTGCCTCTTTTACACAAATGGGAGAATTATGCATATTTTCCTGCATCTGTTTTCTTGGCAATTTAAACCAGCACATAAAGAAATTCTTCACCCTTTATTATTACTGTGTAATAGGCCACCGTGAGGGTCTATTATAATAAGACCAGTCTTATATCAATGAACATTTCACTTGTTCTGGTCTTTTACTATTATAAACCGTGCTGGAATAAATAACCCCTTACAGCCATCATTTTGTGCACATGCAAGTAAATATGTAGGATAGACTCCTAGCGGTGGAATTACTAAGTCAGAAGCTAAGTGTCTGTGTGATTTTTATTGCAAAGTAGTGCTAAGCATTAGTGGGAGGAACCTCCAGATTTTCTCCTACACTCCCTGCCAAGTGGCTTAGAATGTCCTTTACCTGTCTGTGTGGACCATTTCTCAGGGTCAAGTTTGCAGTGAGCAACTTTAGGGCTGAGGTAACGTGTCCTTCGAGGACCAAAAAACAAGCTTTCTAACTGCTTGCTATAAAAGGGGTAGCTCCCTGAGCCTCAGCAGAATCCATCTGGGCCTCCTATGCTTCCCTGGGTTCTTGAGTCCAGGAAGAGCTTGTGCAAGTATGCTGGTGCCCATGCAGCTTCATGTGCTGTGAATAACAAAGTCCTTTGTCTCTGACCCAGGTACCTCTTGTCTTAGTCCAGGATCCATGAAAGAGTAAATAGCTCACTTATTAGCTTGTAAGTAGGATAAAATCAAATCTTAGATCTGGTATTGTCTAAAAATCTTACAACAGGTATTGTTCAATATGCATTCCCAATAGAAATATACAGATAGTTCACTTAGAGCCTTGCCAGCCACACTATGTACTAACCTTTATGATCTTTGTCCATTGACTAGATTTAACGAAACAACACACACACACACAAAAAAAACTTGGTGTATTTTTTACTTGACATTCTTCTTGTCTTGAAACAAGTTGATATCCATTTGAATATCCTTAAAAATTATGATCCTAATTTTATGCATTGAGTGGTGATGTCTAAGACCTTCCTCAGAGATCCCAAACAATTTCCATTCTCTTCTCACTCTTCATCTCTTCCTGCTCAGCTAACATGAATCATTTAATGGGGCTAGTGGCCAGACAACAGATTACAGAGAACAGACTTCTTCAGTGTTTAGACAGATTCCACAGGAGATGAATACTCTAGCGTTCATGAATACTCTGCTCAGAGGGTTGCCAGGGCAGTCAGGCCTGATTTCACCACGTTTATGGTCATTGTTGGATGTGATTGTAGTTTCCTTCTCCACACTTGCATGCTATGTGTTCCTTGATAAGTCAGTGCAAATCACAAAGAGAGAAACAGCCAGCATGGCAGGCTTCCCCAGAACCTCCTGTGATTTGAACCACTATTTAGTTAGAAAATTTTTTAATGGAGTTTACTTCTTCCAGATTTGACTTACAAACCAAGTTTAAAGCCCCAGTACTTAAGTAATATTTTATCTCCACTGGCAGAATTCAGCATAATCAAGATCATTGCCATTATGTGCATATTTATAAGCAATATCATTAAGCATTGTGTCCTTTTCCATCCGTAAAAAATCATTTCCTTAGCAAGAGAATTTTCCGTTACCCAAAGTGGGAATGCCAGAAGCAAGTGATGTCCACATTCATGCTTCCTAGCACTGACACAGCCTCTTCTGTCTGTTCCCAGAGGCCAGCGATTGCCCCAGCCTCAAAGGCCAGGTCCTACTTGATCAAACACCACACTCAATTCTTCTTGTTTGCATATGGTCAGGCCTCAGAACTGCATCTCACAGACTCGGGGGTTGGAGGGGAGGGCCCTTGGGACCCTCATCAGCACCTGTCCTCAGCCCGGCTCCCTGTGGCAATTCAACTGAATGGCACATCCAGCATGTGATGGGTAGTTTCTCGCTCTCTGAGACAGCAGGACTGCCAACAGAGGAGTGGGAAACCTTCCCATTATCTGACCACCATGCCAGGGAGCCAAGCCCCAGAGCTCTGCTTGGGTGAAAAGCCTCCCACCACTCGCCAGCCCCTCCTGGGGAAGTAGGGGCTGCTCCCGCACCCCAGGCTTCTGAGGGCTGGTTCTTCACAAGGGTTTGGCATTCCCTTTATTTCACCCCTTAATTGTTCTGAGGCTCCTGTGTCTTTAGGGCCAAGTCTATCCATAACACTTGAGTTCCTCCCTCCCAGGAGTTAATTCCGGCTTTGGAGGAAGGAGTTGGAAGGAACGGGCATTCCGGGGGAAGAGGCCAGTGAGGACGTGCAGGAAAGGAAGCCCTCTCCTGCCCCCATACTCCCAGGGCAGCAGAAGCAACTGACCACAATGAACACTGTGGCCAGCCTATGAGGCTGGTGCACGCACATGGGGGCCAGACCAGGGCAAGGGCAGAGATTTCCAGAGCAGGAAGGAGGGCTGGAAGAGCCTGTTGGAGCCCGGGCATACCTGCCCCACGACACTCTACTCCTGAGCCCATGTAGCACTGGGCCTACAGCTGGGGCAGGTGATGGGCCAGCTCCTCTGCAGAACACAGTTGAGGTCAAATGGCCAGGAAGGTGAGATCCAGAGGGCGCCAAGGGGTGGGACCTGTTGGAGGCTGCCCGGCTGGCATCACATGGTCCGGCTGTATTCAATGCCGCCTTTGGTGGAGATGCTCGACCATGGCAGGAAGCTTCAGAGCAGGCTGTGGGCCTGGTGGTAAATCCTGTGTGGGATGGAGCAGGGGTTCAAGTTTGCCAGAGCAGAACCCAGGTGCTGGATGTAGTCCAAAATGGTCCAAGAAGGGTGGCCACCATTGATGTAGAAGATAAAAGTGAAGCCATCTTTGAGGACCCCATGGATGGAATAGTAATAGGGGAGATAGTGGTGCTGCTTGAAGTCTCTGTTTTCGTAGAAGTTTATTGCTGTGTTGTTGGTGGTGAGGACATGCAGGTAGATGGCTTTGAAGTGGTCCTGGGCAGTGGTGGATATGTGATCCTTTAAACCAGTGGTTCTCAACCTTCTAATGCCGCGACCCTTTAATACAGTTCCTCATGTTGTGGTGACCCCCAATATCATTGTTACAAATTGAACATAATTAAAGCATAGTGATTAATCGCAAAAACAATATGTAATTATATATGTGTTTTCCGATGGTCTTGGGCGACCCCTGTGAAAGGTTCTTTCGACCCGCAAAGGGGTCGCAACCCACGGGTTGAGAACCACTGCTTTAAACTCTCAAGTAAAAGAGAACCTATGCCGTGCTTTCTGAATTCCTTCGCTACTCCCAGACTTAGAATGTATGCAACTTGTGTGTCAACAGAGAAGTTGGAGGCTAGAATATCTCCATCCTCCTTGTGTATCTTGGTCCTACTTTTTATTTCAGCTATCATTCCTACAATGGTAACCGTGTAGGCTGCAGCAAGGGAAAAGAACTTCTTGTTGGAGGTGATGTCACGATACCATGAGTCTGGGCACTCGACGGGGAACCAGTCGCCACACAGATGCTTCAAAGTGTCTGTGTCATCATGGCAGAGGAGGCGCAGGCTGACCTCGCTGAGGGCGCAGGATGGCACCACCTCTGTCATTCACACCTCCAGCGGGAGCCTGCGCGCTGGAGCCTGTGGCAGCGGACGGCGCCTGGGGCTCAGCACATTCTGGGGTCGCAGGGAGCCGTAAGTGGGGTGGGGTTCAGCAGGGAGCCGGAAGTGGGGCCACGCGGAGCCCGCAACCAGTTATGTAACCGGCAGGGGCCGCAGTCGCAGCCGGGACTGAGGCGGCGGCCCAGGGCACTTCCCGATAGTGTTATATTTTAGTTTTAACCATCAAACATACTTTAGAAAACTCAAGAAGAGAAAGAAAGCCTATTGTATTTACTAATAGTTTTGCTTACTGAGTTCTTCCTGATGTATGAAGGACTTTTTTTTCTTTTATATTTTCCTTCTTTGGAAAACTTCCTTTAGCCATTCTTTTAGGATAGGCCAACTAGCAACAAACTTAGTTTTCCTTCATTTAAAAGTGTCTTCATTTCTCTCTGTATCCTGAAAGATATTTTGGGGTATAATCCAGTTTGGGGTATAGGATTCTGGGTTGACACCTCTCTCAGTAGTTGAGAAATACTGTACCACTTCCTTCTAGCCTGGATGGTCTCTGACGAGAATCTGTTGTCATTTTAATTATCTCCCCTGTAGATAAGATAATTGTTTTTCTCTGGCTGCTTTGAAGGTGTTTTCTTTGATTATCTTTTAGAAGTTTAATTAGAACATGTCTTGGCTTGGATTTCTCTGGGTTTACCCTGTTTGTAGTTCACTCTTCTGCTGTGAAAGCCTCAAATCTCATGCATTCTCTTTCACTTCCCCCAACTCCTACACCAGTGTGATCAAATATATCCATATTTTTTGCTATCCCTAAACATGAATTGGCATTAATTGATACCTCTGTCCCTTTGTTTTTAAATTCCTGAAGCAGGATCATGTAAGAGAATGAGTCCTGGGCATGGACTCAGTGGCTGTGAGTCTTACCCCAGCTTTGTATAACTTTGTAGAACTTCTTTCAGACTTATTAGTTATATGAGTCAAAGAGAGTCTGAATCAGTTTTTTAAAAAATGTATTTGTATTGATTTCAGAGAGGAAGGTGTTGTATCGTAAAGCAGCAAATGAGATACAAGACCCCTTAATAAGCCAATTAATTAGGAGTCGTTTATTGTGGCGGCCCAGAGGGAGGTGTCTCTTCCAAATCTCTGAGCACCACATACAGGAAGTCTCCCGTATTTATACTTTTCAAGCCTCTTTGTTTGCAGAGATTTTTTTAAAAAATAAGTCTTTATTGTTCAGATTATTACAGTTGTTCCTCTTTTTCCCCCCCATAGCTCCCCTCCGCCCATTTCCCACCCCACCCCATGCCCTTACCACACCCCTCACTGTCCTCATCCATAGGTGTAAGATTTTTGTCCAGTCTCTTCCCGCACCCCCCACACCCCTTCCCCCTAAGAATTGTCAGTCCACTCCCTTTCTATGCCCCTGATTCT